AAGAATAAAGTGAACTGGGATGGTGTTGCTGTGCCTTGCTGTTTTAAACTTACTGAGACGGTTGAGGCTGCAAAAGACCACACAAGGGACAGGAATCACCCTGCGCCTTAGTCACCACGGTGGTGCACGGTCATCCTCAGCTGCCAGGGTGCAGGCAGATAGCAGCAACTCCCAGAAATTATTTTGGCTTGCTAAGAGCTTCAACAGAGGAGAAATAAGAGCAATACCCTATAGCATGTGTGCCTTGAGCAGCCACTGCACCAGCCATGAGCGTGGGGTGAAGGGCTGACGCTTTGGGATGAGGGTGTTCATTAACCTCCCCCCAGATAGCTTAGCCCAAGCCCATTGCTAACACATGCATGTTCCCAGCATGTGGCTTCCAAGGGAGCTGGAGAGGAAATTCTCTGCTGTTCTATTTTTCCATGAATATTTCTCTCCTGTGAAATACAACAATAAATCTAATAGAAGAAACTCAGAGAACTGGGAAGATAGCCTTTCCTCCCAAAGGTTTGCTTGGTTGCTGCCTTCTAAAGGTTTCTAAATGAAACCTCTGGAAGTTTGGGAATGGGCAGCACAGCCTCTGGGCCGGGGGGAGCTGCCGGGCACCCAGCGCTCTCGAGGGCTCCAGTGGGTCTCCGTTAGCAGGTATCACAGATGAGCATACAGATTATGCTGGTTTTTGTTTGCCAAAGGAGAAATGGGAATATTCAAATGAAAATATGCAGTCAAATAAAACTAGATCTACTTCTAAGCAGTGAATTTAACCAAAAAATATTGTGATCCTCGCGTTTTCCTGCGAGCTGTGTGCAGTCTTGACACTGGTATCAGGGACACACACAGTTGCCTTTAAAATATATTTGCAGAGGAGTAACAAGCCATAAATCCTCTAGATCTGTTCCGTCTGCTTTTAATATGACCCAGTGTTTTCTCAGAGAAGTCAAAAGCTATAGACATAGGCTGTAAAGAAAAAAAAAATCCATAATAAAAAGCCTGAATATCACTTGTAACTCTGAATTACCTGCCTCTTCCTATCTTGTGTCCTAGTCTTATCATTATTTTAACATTAGGTCTGTCTTGTATTTAATAGTACTTCTGCACTTCATTTATATTTAATATGACAACTTCTGCAGGATGAAAATGATCATTATCTATCTTATTTCAGACTCTATGTTCTGTTCTCAATAGGCATAAGCAGCAGATGATTATACAACTTGTGATGTTTCATGCAAGCAAATTAGAGGTTTTTTCAAGTTAAAAGTATAATTCAGGGTAATAGGAGAGGGTTGTTAACTGCTGTTCGTACATGCCGTTTCCGAGAGGTACAATGCTACGTAGTCACCGGGAATCAAGCTAACTGTTTACAAGGTAGGGGAAAAAAGTGTTTAGTTGTGCCTGTATTCCCCAGAAAGGAGGGGATATGCTGTGTTTCAATCTGCTGCAGTGTCGTGTTGAACTGTATGGAAATTGCCTGGGTGACAGCATCAGTGGGTTAAGTTTTCAGCTCTTTCACCTTTGGTGTAAAGCTGTATTTGCTATCAGCATCTCCCGTGGGGTAAAGGGATTCTTTCCTACTTCCCTGGTGGTTTGAGAGGACAAGCCATTAACCTCTGTAAGGAGCTTTTTAGGGTTTTTAATGGATTATGTGTTAAATATTGGACTAGCTGATGCTCCCTAGATCCACGCAAGAATTTCCTTACCCTCTTCGTGGAAGAAAGGTTCACAAACCTCCAATGCATTATAGCTATTGATCTCCTAATCCAAAAGGCAGACAAAAGAGATAGTGCAATTAGTCTATATTATCTTTCCTGAATTTACCACCACCTTTCTAATTCATTCCCCCCTTATTTTGTGCCCTTCTGGAAGGTCAGTCTGGTGGGAATATTTCGGTCCTGAGGACAGATTTCACAGCCTTCTTCGTGGAAAGTAACAGAAAGATCCTGATTTAGGGAAGGAAGTTTCAAGAAGTGGAGGCCTAGGGGAGAATGCCCTCATCTTACAGTTGTCACGTGTGCCCCTTCCCCATGGAGGAGATGCTTTAGTTGCTAGCAATAATGTAACAGTGAGCAATTTTCATGCAAGGAGCAAGTTCCTCATAGCAGTTCGTGGCAATTTTTGACAATTTTGCCTGAAATAAGTGGCATATATATGAAGAGCCAAAGGCACATGTCTCTTTTGTTCATGATTAAGAAATTCTGCTCCATTACTTCAGAATATTTTATCAGATTAATATTTTGTAAGCACAGATTTTCATAGTTGTCAACGCACTTGGACTATGAATAATGAATAGGGCTAAATAGAGCCCTTTGACTTTTGCTGCGGTGCCTTCCCAGTACGCTTACAAAAGAGGGAAATTTATTCCCTCCCTTATCCCCATTTTGCCAAAGAGTAACCGCGAGGAGTGAAGGGGTTGATTTTTTCCAGGGCCGCATCCAGAGATTCCCAGATTTAGAAGTGGTTTCTGTCCCCCGTGCCATGCTCAGTCCTTTCCTAACCGCCCCTCCTTCCAGCTCGTTGCCTTTGTTTGTGTGGCTTGATATTAAATTTTTTCCCATCAGGAGCAGGCCATCGAGGTGCTAACACGGTCCAGCTTGGAAGTGGAACTGGCTGCGAAGGAGCGGGAAATTGCCCAGCTCGTAGAAGACGTCCAGAGACTCCAGGGCAGCCTCACCAAACTGCGGGAGAACTCCAGCAGCCAAATCTCCCAGCTGGAGCAGCAGCTCACTGCCAAGAACAGCACACTCAAAGTAAGGAGCAGCTGTGTGCTCAGCACTTTTTCAAGCAGATGACTGACACACCAATATTGGGTTTTACTAATATAAGCTTTCTGTGGTTCTGAGAGGCACCATAAAAGCTATTTACTTCTTCAGAATGCCATTGAATTCCAGTCTCTGGGACATTTTAGTCTAGTTGATCACAGTTTTGCTGAAATGTAATTTACCTTTTTCTCACTCTCATTGTTGTGAGATTCATTTATGCAGAGCGTGGCCACCATTAGAATTAAAGCCAGCAACAAAAACCAAAACATATTTACCATGGATATGCAGCGAAGTGGCAGAAGTGGAAAAGGCACAGAAAATCCTGTTTAGTTTTAAAACCTTTAATTCTCCTTCCAGTGTTTGGTATGGCTGGTTTGCCAGGGACACTTACAGCGCCCTGTGAAGCTACCCACTGCACCCCCAGCCCTCCTTACATTAGAAGAGAGAAGTGGATCACTTAGTGCACGGAAACAAATAAATGTTAAGACACAGAAGGCAGCCTTTTTAGCCTTAATAAGAATTTTGTGTTTTTTTCAGCTGTTTATTTGCAGAACAGTCATTGCCATTGATATTTAGCGTGCTCCTTTGCATCCCAGTGGCACGTTCCTAAAACCACAGGAGCAGAATCATCTAACTGCTTCCCCAGTGACCCCTTTACCTCTGGCTTTACATTCTCCGTGCGCTCTTCCCCATGGTTTTGATCTATCAGTAAGCCTGAGAAATGCTTCCTGACATCTGTTCTGAAGCCGCTTCCTGCAACTCCTGTCTCCTTCCTTGTTCTACCGTCTATGAGCTTCACATGGAAAAACACAATAAATTTATCTATTCCATTAAAGGCTTTACCATTTTTTAGGTTTTTATAGCCTGAGAGTTTTTGAAAGCAGGAGGCTGGTAGTACCCACTTAGCTAACTGTGGCGTGGGTAGCTGTTCTCTATCAGAATGATTTAATGTTGAGCCAAAACCCTTACAAATTGTCCCGATTCTGCCATCTTCTCGAGGATACTCATTTTGCTCTGCTGTAGTGTACTTTATGTGGACAAATGTCTGGTGGGGATGAAATTCAAAGTGTTGCGTGCACTTTTTGCATGTTTTAGGACAACCTTGCAGAATTTTCATGAAAATTCAGCAGAGCAAAGAAAATCTATTCAGTTCCCATATTGATGGTATCAGTCTCTGCCCATCTGTCACCATGTGTGCACTACTCTTAATGAGGGAGAAGGAGCTGGCCTCATTTGGAGGGACAGATTTTTCTGGCTACCCCCATGTTATGGTTTGTTTGTTTTGGGTTTCTCTATTTTTTCTTTTTTTTTCCCCATAAAGCCTGATAGAAAATATCTTGAGTCCTTGCACTTGACAGATTTTCTTGGAATAAAGCATGTTCCTGTTGAGGTCAGTATTAGTTTAGCCATTAACTTCAAAGGGAGTAGGATCATAGAAATGACAGAGCAACTCTTTGATTTTCATTTCGGTAATCTCCTTCCATTTTCTCATAGACTTGTCTGGCTAATGCTCTGTATTTAGGTTCTTGTTGATAGGGTCTGATGCAGTGACTCTATTGATAAAAGTTTTGGTCATTTCTACCCTGTTTCACCTTATTTGCTGCACTACAAAAAATACTTAAAATACATTTTTTTTCACCAGAGTGCTGGGAAAACCTGCGCCTGAGATGTGTTGCACAAAAAAAAAAAAATCTCAGTGATGATGTTCAACCGCATGTTTGATTATAGAAGAATTGCTTCCAAAATAACTAAGACTGTAATGGTTGCCTCCACAAAAAATGAATCATGGTTTCACAAATTAAAGCAATGTTCTCAGACCGTATCTTGGGGGAATTCTTTAATACTCCATGACTTAATGAAACAATGCAAAAATACTTCAAAAATTATTGCTTCTTTATCTTCATCTGATCTAATAATCAAGATATGTCCTCTAGTAACAAGACTTTTCTAATTGTAATTCTGTTAACCCTTTGCTGCTGGAAGTTAGAGCTGCTAGTGCTGGTTAGCCAAGACGTACTTGGTTAATTAAGACACTTTTAATTTTTATGGGCTTTATCACTGAGAACTAACCTAAAATGTTACTCTCATTGAGTGTTTTAACATATTAAACCCCTTAATACAACCCATGCTACTTTAACTAAGGAAATGCATTTTAATTTTTTATTGATAGGGTAATGATTATTTGATTTTTAAAAATAAGAGGGGGCCCAGTCTGTCTGTGCTTAAAAACTGTTGTTCCCTGGGTCAGTGAGTGCAAGATGATTCCTTAACATGGGATATTTCCAAATTTATTGTGTAGAAAAACCCTGGGTCCGTTCCTTCTGCCCGCTACCTCTGTGCGTTTTTGTGTTCTGGAGGACATCTGAATACACTGTGTTTTGTCTGAATTAACCAGGTTGATATTTAGTGCAAGAGATTAGTTCCTCCAGATTGTCTCACAGCTTGAACTTTTGTTTTACTCTGTTCTGTGCATTTTACGGGGTTCTTTGAGGCAATTACCATACTAATACATTTTAAAGCAGCCATTGACTGGGAAGATGCCAAGGGCCTAAATGATCTGCATATATACAGGCACTGCCTTCTCAGATGTTAGTTTGGGTTGTTTATTAAGAGTATACGTTAACGCAGATTTTCCATGGCAACAATTTCTATATTAGCTACTTGGCAATGATGGATGCGTGTGTAGTTTTTTGTTTTTTTTTTTTTTAAATACTGTTCACAGTAAAATGCTGGAGGTTGCCATACTGTTACAGCAGCAACAAAGTGATTTTGTATCCCGAGCTTCATTCCATCAGTATCTTCTTTTTTTAAACAGTGGAGTTTTTTGTAGCTAAAATTTTCTGAAAATTGGGCATCGCATCTGCCTCCATAGTTACATTTATTTTACATTGACTTAAAAAGGAAAATCATTTTTTTTCTTCTCTATTTTATATCCGGCCCTACAAAAGGCTTTCTTATTAACGTATCTTTGCATAAGCAGCTAGTACATTAAACCAAGGGGTGTAGGGATTTTTAAATTCACCCTAGTGCACTGCTCCACAGCATAAAGGCCTGGAGCGGCTCTGCCCTAGGCCTGGCCGGGAGGGAAAACCCGAGGAGGCCTCTTGACAGCAGCACCTCCAGCCTGCGCATGACACTCGGAAAGCAGGAAAGGGGACTTCAGAAGGGCCACATAGCAGAGAGACCACCCTGTGACTGCCTTCAGGACAGGTAGCAGCCGCGAGGTCGCCTCTCCTGACGCTCCACCAAGTCGCGTGGTCGTCCTGGCTCCAACAGGGCCTTCCTGCCCGAGCAGAGAAACCCCCGGCGCAAACCAGCGCGGCCCTGGCCGGCACCGTAGCCCTCAACCCTGGTGTGTCGCTGTGTTGGAGGCCTCCTGCTACTGCCCTACGTGGCTGTGCAATAAGCAACACTTGAAAACGATCTGGTCCAGCTGTTTTGCTCGGGCCTGAGTTGTTGTCCAAGTCTTACACGGTCCAGGCTACAACAGCTTCTTCCATTTTTTTTCATTTTTTGTGTAGATAAGCTTATCAAGAACTGCCCTACTGAGAATACAGTATATGTTAAAGCATCCTTTTTATCGCCTCCATTTATTGGTTTTGGAAAAATTCGAACCGCCCCTTTTTAATGCCTTTTTTTTCCCCCACCACAATCTCTTCATTGGATGCCTGATAGCGACGTTGCAAACAGCCAGACTGCGACCTTCTGAATTCTCTAGTGCTTGGCACTCTGTAGAAGGAGTGAGGTCTAATTGTGTTTGTGTTGAATTGGTTATAGTTTGTTTTCTAATATATGTAAATTACGTATGAGTCATTAACCCTCACTTGTGCACTGCTGTATATATGGAATAATTTAAAGATGATTTTGAGAGCCTGCAGAAAAGAAATCTAAATAATTAAATCCATGTTCTTTCTTTTAAAGCAACTGGAAGAAAAACTGAAAGGACAGGCTGATTATGAAGAGGTTAAGAAAGAATTAAAGTAAGTGTTAAATGCTTACATAATTTTTTCACAAACTTTAGTTTAACAATGCTTGTTAAATAAAGCCACAAATCTGTGTTCTTGGAACAATAAAGAATTCAGTCAAAACCACAAAGACAGGGAAATAAGGAGTCTTGGCTGAAACTGCATGCAGAACCAGTGCAACTGCTGTATCTGAGGGCCCTCCTGTTTTGTTGCAAGCCGCTATTGCAATAGGCAATAATGGCAATGGCCATGAAGAATGGGCTCTAAAATTATGGTTCACCAGAGTGAAAAGCTTGAAAATCTCTGGTATTTTAGACTGAGAACTCTTTACATGAAACTGTTGGTTGGGGTTTTCTAATATGGACCTTTGGCCACATTACCCATTCCTCTACTTCTGCCAGCTGTTGTCCTGCATTTACTGTTTTACGGCTTATTTTGTGGTATATTTTTGCTAATTTATGGTGGTTTCAAACTAATGTTGCAGCCTGTTCCTGATCCAAGGTTTTCTTAAGAGACTTGAAAGAGCCTCATTTGAAACCATAACAAGATAAACTGTCAGGTTCGGAAGAGATGATTTTTGAGTAGAAATATGTTTGTTGTCGATTTTTAAATAACTGCATCTCTTCTTTCCTCATTCTGCCATTTTTGTGTGTCTTTTAAGAAGATTGAGACAACGTTACCTGCCTTAATGAGGCATTTCAGATGAGCCTGGCGTCCTGTGCTTTAGTTGACAAGTCACTGGAGAATCAGCAAAGGCAGTTTGGTTTTGCAGGCCCAGGGACCCTTCCAGCCCCAGTGGTGCAGTCCTGCTTCACTGCCAGCTGCACCGCATGGCAGTGTAGGTGTATCTGGCAATAAAACAAAATGACTTGTCCTTTTTCTTAATTGGTTACTGTACCTTAATTTGACTGGTCTTAAAAAAAGCTAATACATTCCAGTGGCCCAGCTAAATTATGTCTGTTTTCTCTCCTGACTTAAGTAAATGCAGCTTCAGATTTCAGCCAGTTTTTGCCCTCGTATTTAAGTAATGTATGTGAATTAGGCTGCAGCCATCAAATTCATGTCGTGAGTGTGTATGGGAATGTACTGAAACAGCAAATGAGTTTTAAATCCTGCCCGGTTTATTGCTTCTGCTTTAGGTGTGAAACTCATTTGAAGCTCTGTATTCCTGGCAATACTGCCTTATATATATATATATGTATATATATATGTAGACTAACATACACAAGGGAAGGGATGGATGGAAAGCCATGTGAAGTTATGCTGTAATAGTGTTAATATGGCTCTGCATTTTGGGAAAGCAGAATCCTGCCCGTCCTCTTGGACATCTCTTTATTGCAGGAACTGACAAATTTTTCCTGGATTTGTGAAAATTCAGATTGTTCTTGTTCCCGCTTTTATATTTCCTGATTTGCGGGTAGCATTTCTCACCTGGGAAGGCGGCTTTCCAAGCAGGGTGGATTTGGAGGCCCAGCCAGTGCACTTGGATGGGGCTCTGGAGTCTCTGCACTGTCCTGCTGGCTGCTGGTGGCTCCAGGCTCCATGTGTTACTCAGAGGATACTCTTGGATGGAGCCTGAAAGATCCCCAAAAAGGCTCCACGCTGTCCAAGGAGAAGGCAGGGAGGGAGTAGGAGCAATTTCCTCTTACCTTCTGATTTACCAGACAGTGCATGGTCCTTTTTACAAGCAACTGGTTACTTGGAGCTACAGCACAGAGGTAATTTAGCATATTCTTATACAAAATCAATCAGGAGGTTTGCATCACCTTAACAATATTCCAATTCATATGAAATCTTAGCATCATGAACATCACAGGCTTTAGTTTGGCTGTTCCTGGACTCTATATGAAAAGGAGTAATTTTCAAAACCCTCATTTAATTCCAGAGCAGCTACAGCACAGCCAGCAGTGATGCATGTTTCCTAAAGCCACGGTAAATACAGCCTCTAGCGGACTGTTGCTGACTATCAATTGTAGCCTTCTCATAGAGCTTGTAACAAATTTGAGACACGCATTGCTAAAAGAAGCCATTCCAAAGGGCCTTATGTTTCTGGTGCAGTCCAAAAGTGGAAGAATCACTTGTAAAACACCTAAGACCTCTATTTTCCTTAGGCTTCGCAAAGGTGTTACAGATACTCCAGAGTGAGGGGTTATTAATAGCAGCCAACTTTTATCCTTGGAAGAGCTTCACGAGGTCTATATTGAGCACTAGGCCAAAAGATTGCCCAGCTCTCTGGGTTGACTTTTGTTCCAAATGGGTTTGAAACCTGGCTCTGAGATCAGAGAGCCCTGATTGTCCTTTCAGGCCTCTCTTGAGGAGTGTGGCAGGGCTGACCCTCCTGGCGTTGCAGCTGGCATCGTGGGAGGAGAATATTGAAACGTTCAATACACGTTTTGATTTAGAACAAGGACTTCCAAGTCATCTTAGACATGCAGGTTTTAGTCACATGTTCATTCTTCTACAAAGCAGGTAACTGATCTTTATGAGCAGCAGATTGAGCCAAGGTCTCATGGGCAAAGATTCTTTTGGAATCCAAAGGGGACACATCTTACTCTCTCATTTGGAGAGTCATTTCTGGCTTTGTGTTGTTTAAACTTCACAGGAATTGAAAAACAAGCCTGTTGTACTGAGTAGTCCTCCAAGGGCAATTCAAGATGCCATTAACCTGCTTTTTAATATATTTTGCGTGGCAGAAGTATATGAAATTACCTCTGTAATTGCTAGAAGGCTATTTCAGGTGCCTTGAAATAGGCAAAGTTCACCAAGTTTGCAGCAGAGGTTTGAATTTGGGTTCAGGCTGCTCCAAGCAGCACAGTTCAAGCTCTCACTTGGTCCCAGGGGACAGTGAGCCCTGGGAACTGAACAGATTTGGTAGAAGGGCCCGTGCAAGCAGCAAGGCCAGGTTTTTACAGCCAAACCACTGGTGCTGAAAACCCAATGTTCACACCCAATATGCTTAGGATGAGCTTGTAGTTCGGGCTAGTTTTAGCCTGGTTCTGTAGGGCGCACGTGAGCGGTCGGAGCTCATCGCGCGCTCCTCGGACAGTCCGCAGCTTCTGTCGGTTTAGTTCCGTCCTGAGGGGAGCCCAGTTCTGTGCTCCGAGACTGCTCTGCATGGCAAACCCAAGCGTGGTAAGTGGGGGTGACTGGGAGGTTGGCTTTGGATGTGTACGGCTGATCCGAATACGGGGATGAAGTAGAAACACCAGGGATTTTCCACGGAAAGTTTGCCACGCTGCCGTTACGGGTTGCTTTTTTCTTTAATTGAGATGAGTCTCCTCATTTGGCCATCATGAGGCAGTTCGTGGCCTTTTGCTAACCTCTCAGAAGTCGACATTCTGCAGAGTCCATGGCAGGGTGAACATTACGTTACTTTTCAGTACGTGGGTTTTTCCCAGGTATGTGTCTGTGCATTTGTCCTCCCCGACACCTTCTAGTCCTGGTGGGCAGAACTCTGCCTCTCAATAGGTGCCCCAAGCAACAACCCCAGGAATGGGTGGCAGCCTGGGTAAACGTGCCCATGGTGTCACTGTAATGTCACTGTCCTTAATAACCAAAGCCATTAGTAAGGAATGGCTCTGCTGGGCAGTTTGGCCGTTAATGGCAGAGCAGAGGCACTTCTGCAGGTAGGTGAACTGCTCTGCCCAGGCAAAGCAGAGAGGTCCTAACAGGGGGATGTTGTTGCTTGCCTCTTATGCAAAGCTCATTCTGCAGGGATTTCTGCTGGCAAAAAGTGCTGTCCAACAGTTATATTATGAAACCAGTGGCCTGAATTCTGTTTTATTAATTATTACATTTCTAAGAATGCCTGTCAGAATTAACACTGCGTGCAATGGGTAATGCACAGATGCAAAACAGATGAGGTTCTGCCTCAGGATTCCTTTTTTTTTTTTTTTTTTTCCTCCCTCTTGGATTTGCTGTGACTTTGTGATCTCGAATGAGTCACTGAGATGAATGATTTCCAGAGGGGCAATTGATGGTACATCTAATTCTGGATTAATGCACAGATAGATTTATAGAAGTGCTGGACGCCAGGCGGTCTGAGGCAGCTCATGAGCACTGGGTTCCCCATTGACTCCTAGCAGCATCCAAAGCCACTTTACACATGTTAATACGGGCCTGCTGCTTTTTGTGACTCAATTTCCACGTTTGTTACAGAATTAAACTCATTCTCCCCTGCCTCACAAAGTGCCTGGTACTTTACATATGAAAAACGCTCTATAAGCACTGTGTCTGCTTATGCATTTTTCTTCAACAAATGAACATCTCCACTGTACAGTAAGAAGCTGAAATCATTTCTGCCTTCAGTCTTAGGAATTTAACATCCTGCCTGCAGCAGGCCTATTAAAATAAATATATATATATGGTAAGACAAAGCAAAGTAATAAGGTTGGATTCCTGAAAGATTCTCCTTTACCAGAGAATACAAGGCTAGCTTGAAGACTTTGAAGGGAGACATCCTTTGACCACTCACTATTTAAATAAATATTGACAATGAGACTATTGGATTCTTTTCATAATGTATTTATAAATATTTGGATCTGTCATATTTCTTAAGAAATACTGTGCCATTGTGTCTTCCCTTTGCCATAGAGCTAGAAGGTTATTAAAATGAAAAACTGCCTTTTAGCCTGTAGTGTCTTGGTCGGGAAGATTATTTGTGCATATTTTCCTTGATGTGTGAACTGGTGTATTTTATATAAAGTACTGCAACTGCAATGGTGATTCCCCTGTTTTGTTGCTTTGTTACAACTTTTTCATTCCCTTCAAGCTTCACAGATAAATTTATATTGTCTCTGACAGCTTAAAATGTTATATCCTTATTAACCTTTAAATTTACGCTTTAAACTGGCCTGGTGGGATTGCATATGGAATGATTTAGATGACGCTTGAGAAAATTTTCTTCTCCAATAACGAGTTTGAATAGTTATTCTATATTCATTATCAGATTGCATTACTGCAAGGAAAGTTGTTAAGGTATCACTTAGAGTGTTGCTGGAGAGTAGGAATTGTACTGTTAATGCTCATTAGTGGATTTATTATGAAAAGAAGAAACAGACAATAATTGTTTTTCTACCTTCCACAGTATATTGAAATCCATGGAGTTTGCACCATCTGAAAGCTCTGGTGCACAGGTACTGAATCTACTTTTGTTTTCTTACTTATTTCAGTAGTGTGGTTATTTTTTGTGCTACGATTCATTTGTGTAAGCTTGGACAATTTCCTGTTGATCTGTGTAAGCTGTGAGCTCCTACATGTCCATAAGATATTGAGATATATGGCTGGATCTATGTTTTCCTGATTTTCCTATGTAAAAAGCTGAGCTGAACATTTTTGCCTGTTATTTTTTTAAGTGGTCAAGGACAAAGAATGATGTTTCAGCTGGTGTTTGGGTGTATAACCGTAATGCTGTGAAGCTGAGTCTTTTAAAAGATACTAGTGTTGGTTTAGAGCTATGCTGAAATGTGCATGTTTCTTGAACTGACAGGACACTGAGCAAGGATTTTAGCATTTTTAAATCTTTGTTAGCTTTGAATATAATGTTCACAAAAGAAAATAAACAAACCTCAGAGTACTGAGCAGTAAAAATCTCTGATATTCCAGTGAGTTAATCTCATTTAAGATCGAAGGTTGTGAATTAAATTCCTGCTTCTGAAATGTGAACTGAATATCAATATAGTAGGATTAATTTTCAGTGTGCTCTTTAATAGTCAAGGGTTAGATATTTAGTGGAAGGTAAATGGCATGTTTCCGTGGCTGACTTTATTTTTCAACAAACCACTTATACTGAAACACAGCATTTCAAGAAAATGCTTAACTTTCGTCTGTTGACGTAGAAGAAATAATATAATCTTAACTCTTATTTTAATCAGATTAAAAGAAGTCTGCAGCTTTTAACTTGAAAGCATACCAGTGCCATTTTAAAAGGTGTAGCATTATGAAAATATTCCATTACACATCTCAAAATAATGCAAAATTGATGAATGATTAACAATGAAAATTAAACAGTATATCTGTGCTCACTGAGTGAGTCCTCCAAATATATGTATGATGAATTCCCCAGCCTCATTTGTAGCAAAAATGAGCCCTTTTTTCCCCTATTCTGAGATCCTTTTTAGTGACTGAGTGAGTTTCTTAATGCTTTTGGAAATAAACCTCCCACTTTGATTTTCTTTAGGATGCATCTAAGCCCCTGGAGGTGCTGCTGCTGGAGAAGAACCGCTCCTTACAGTCTGAGAACGCCACGCTGCGTATCACTAATAGTGACCTGAGTGGTAGGTTGACACAATTTTCCGCTATTATCATTTATTTGGTACCTTGTAGAGGGAGGGAGGGCTGAATGGGAGATGAGAGCCTGAGCTAATGCATGGCAGAAAGACTAACAGGCGACAAGAGCACTGAATAAGGTTTGATTTCTGCTGTTTTATAGACCGGATAGTAAAAATAAAACTTGGAGACCTCAGAGACTCTTAAAGGTTAGAAGAGGGAGGCATTACAAGACGTACCAAGTGGTAGCGTTTGAGGTTGTCTTCTGTTTTGGGAACAAATTCATGCGTGGCACCAGAAGTCTCTTCCCCCACACACAATGTTATGCAAAATGTTTGCGTGTAGAACACAATAATCTTCCTGTCTGATACACTTAGATACACTACCCGCAGGTCAGTTTTGGAAAAACAAAATACTTTCTTTTTAGGGAAGTGTGTTTGCCGTTTAGTTTTCCTAATGTGGGCTTTTTACATTTTGTGTGCACATTTTTTAAATGGCAAGTCATGGAATTTCCAGATACTTTAATGCTTATGGTTTTTGCAGCTGGAAGAAAGTTAAAAGTTGCCACTGGCACTGGGATTACTGAATTCAGAAGTGTTTATGGCTTTAAACTGAGTGATCTTGGTGCATCCACCTAACGGTGATTTCTTTAATCAAATTGGTTTGTTCCAAAATGTAAATGTTTGCTGCATTTGGGTTCAGTCAGGTCCGATGAGTAATGTCTTGAATGAGAGACATCAAAGAGACTTACTGTCTGTAACTGAATTTATATTAAATGTATGACTGCACTTCATGTAATTGTTCTAGTTTTAATGTTTGTAAGGGGGATTCTCCAGGCTGCAACATACAAGAAAGGTGCAAACATGAAATGCATGTTGTTTGTTTTGGGGGCCTTGTTTGGCTTATTAAAATTTCAATTATTAAAAAAAAATGCAACAAAACAAACCAAAAAGAAAAACAAAACAAAACCAAAAAAGCAAAAGTCCCATCGCCACCTCATTGGCCCTTGTAAATCTGCACTTTTTTCCCTTTGCGGGGCAAACTTTGCATTTTTTATCTTGGTTTTTCCCTCTTTAATCCCCCATAATGCATTATGTTTGACCTTCCTTGTAGGGTCAGCCAGGAGAAAAGGGAAAGACCAGCCTGAGAGTCAGCGTCCTGCAACCTTGCCGGCCTCCCCTCCTTCTCAGTTGCTCCGCAACGCGGGGGAGCAGGCTTCCAATACTAATGGTACACACCAGTTCTCACCAACGGGTTTAAGTCAAGACTTTTTCAGCTCATCCCTGGCAAGCCCCAGCTTACCCCTGGCCTCCACAGGAAAATTTGCACTAAACTCTCTCCTCCAGCGACAGCTAATGCAGTCCTTCTACTCCAAGGCAATGCAGGAAGCAGGAAGCACAAGCATGATTTTTTCAACAGGTCCTTACAGCACAAACTCCATATCTTCCCAAAGTCCATTACAACAAAGTCCGGATGTAAATGGCATGGCCCCGTCTCCCAGCCAGTCAGAAAGTGCTGGGAGCATCTCTGAAGGCGAGGAGATAGACACGGCTGAAATTGCACGTCAGGTGAAAGAGCAGTTGATCAAGCACAATATTGGACAGCGGATATTTGGACATTATGTGTTGGGACTGTCTCAAGGGTCTGTGAGTGAGATACTAGCCCGGCCAAAGCCATGGAATAAACTGACTGTGAGAGGCAAGGAGCCATTTCATAAGATGAAGCAGTTCCTCTCAGACGAGCAGAACATCTTGGCGCTCCGCAGCATCCAGGGCAGACAAAGAGGTAAGCTCTCCTTGACTAAGGGGGTTTGTTATTTTTTCCGATTAGTTCCAGATATGAAAACCAGTGTGAGGTTCTGCATACGAGGCCGTTCATGCCTTGCCGTTGTTTTCACCACCATCAGACTTAAGGTGCAAAAAGTAGCTTTCTAGGCCTCATTTTCAGGACTGATGCAGGTTCGTATGTTTGTTGGCTTATGCTTTGTGTAGCTGCTTGTGTTGGTGAGGCAGAGCGAGCCTCAGGGACACCAAATCTGACATCAAGGTAGCCACGTGTCGGAGCGAAACAGCAAGGGTCAGCAGCTACTAACAGTATCAGCCCTCTGAATTACCTGAAAATTTGTATTTGGGATTGTTTGCTGAGAACAGACTTTTGTTTTGACTTCTGCGTCTTTTCCAGAGAGCGTTGATAGAGGAGCATAGGTGAAGCATGATGACTAATTAAGAAAAAATCCTAATTTAAAGCAGCTTTGCGTATTTAAGTCAATGATTTTAAGAAATAACATATGCATTTCATTGTGATTCATCTTAAGCAACACTGAGATTTACATTTAGAGAAACCGAAAAGTGAGTTGTTTACAGCCGAGAAATATTGGAAAGGACAGGCAGGATTTTCCTAGATTTTGTTTAATTGGAAGCGAACACTGTTAGATTTATAATCTGCTCTTCCTTTTGATGATTGCACTTGAGGGGATTATCTGCCCATCTTTAACCTCTTCATTTTTGGTATCTCTAGGCATTTATTTATATCTGTCTAATCTCCTTTCCGAACGTAGCTGTAATCTTTATTAACAAATCAGCCGGCCTTGCTTCTCCCCAAGTAGGCAGCTCCCGGGCGCTCAGGCCTGGACGAGCCCCGCGCTCGCGCGGAGGGACCCGCTGCCGTCTCTCCATGTCGCGTAGCCCATGTCCCAGCAACCATCCCCTGATTGTTTTGTTCTTACCAAACTTGTTTTTCAACAGAGAATCCAGGCCAGAACCTGAACAGACTATTTCAGGAAGTACCGAAACGAAGAAATGGGTCTGAAGGTACGTCACAGGCAGGTGTTTTTCTTTGCAGTCCATACCTAGGGAGTGGAGTGTGCTTTTAGCTGTGTGTTTCCTTAAAACGGTGCAGTTTGATTCTGGCCTGGAATCTGATAGAAAAACAGACAGTAAGTATAAAACAAACCATGGGTTAGAAGAACACTTTGCTTTTTCTAATTCCACTGCCGCTGTACTAACTTAACCCTGTTTGGAGACTTTTTTTTGCACTCCCCAACTCAGTATGGATGCAGATAAAAAAAGAGAAGTGGTAGAAGAGGCTTTGTAAAATCTCTACCAGCAAGTCTCCTGAAATGCTGTCTTTGCCGTTTTTGTGATTTTTAGAGCAAGAGAGGTGCACAATTCTGTGTAATTCCAACCTAAACAGCATACTGCTTCTGCTATACATTATCTATCTTTCTCCTCTTGGGGCTTTTGTTGGCAAATGCACTTTAAGATGCTGTTAGATTAGCGGGAGGCTTGCTTTAGTATGGTATATGGAACGGTCTGAGCAAACATAAGTGAAGGTTGGATCCGTAAAGTATCAGTAAACAGGAAGTTTAAGCATTTTTCTTCATAATAGATTAATTGCAGAATTTTTCTTTTAGCAAGACAAGAAGAAAAAACAAATCCCTCCCCAAAAATCTGTAGTTATTTTGATTCCAGTCAGAAGCCATCTCGATCACTTACAAATGATAATTGCATAATGAACAGTTCGTTTAAGTGCAGTAGGTTTCAAAATCACAGGAATTTTCCCTCCATTTTTCTGTTAGTGGTAAAAAAACAAATAAGAAATAGCTATTAGCTGGAGAGCACTTCAGATAGTATCAGTACTTAAATGAATGTTTCTCTTAATGTATTAACCTCTAGAAAAGTAAAAATTATTTTTAATTTGTATGTGGCATCCCTACAAGCTAATGCAATTTTGAAGGATGGTTCCCGATCTCAGCTTTCTTCTTTTCCCCTCCAGTTCCTAACCCTTTTGTTTCCTCTCCTCCTCCATGCAAAGGAAAAGTTAAAAAATAAAATAGACCTATATATGTTTTACTGGATAATAAATATATGACCACATAGTTCTTTTACTGGTAATGTTAGTGTTTTCATTGTCCCAGTGCAGCTAGTGAGCAGGCTTTTGTGTAAAGAGGATATTTTTGCTTGATTATGTGAAATTCTGTCTTGGTGTTAGGAAAATGCTGGTAAATGCCCGATGCAAAGTGTTGTCAGGTGGTTCTAGCAGTACATCAGTATGTGTTGTCTTTCCATTAAAACAAAACAGAAGAAAGTAAAAGGAAAAAAAGAAAAAAAAAGCTTTTCCCAGTGTCATTAGTTTTGTTTTCCTCCCCAGGTAATATAACCACAAGGATCCGAACCACAGAGACGGGCTCTGATGAAGCCATCAAATCCATTCTAGAACAAGCCAAAAGGGAGCTGCAAGTACAGAAAACAGGTACAGCCTCATTTTGCTTCCTGTTCCTTTTATTTCAGAGTTTAATTAAAACAATTATCATGAGCTTTCTGGTCAGTTAATTATAATCTTAAAACCTTGAGTGTAGGCCTGAGGAGGTGCTTCTTTTTTAGTGGAGATGTTTGTGCTCCCAGCGCAGCCCACGCGCTCGCAGTGCAAGGGGAGCTTTGCTGCGTGCGCTGCTCAGCCTGTCCTCACACGTGGCGGGAGGGAAACGCACGTTTCTGAGCCCCCTTTCCAGAGGGTGCAGAGCTCTTCCATCCCCAACGCTGCTGGACACTGCACTGGAGCAGGCATCTTCCAGCAGTGCCCCGTGCACAGCGAGCAGCTCCTGCTTTCCCAGCTCCCCGGGCTCATTCCAGCCCCAGGGACAGCAGCCTGGGAGAGGGACAGACTCCTCTCCTTCACTGCTATCTGAAGGTCACAACCGAGCCAGCAGTATCGGTCATATATTACCAGCTCATGCCGTACATCAGGCACTGAAATTATAGCAGAGACAAACTCCATCCTGACTTCTGCATGGCTGTATTTTGGTTATGGAACACAGGGAAGTAATTCTTTTTCTGTGAATGGGCAGGCAAATTCAGATAGCATTTCCTTTCGGAAGAACATCATAAATGTTTAACAGCTTGGCCTGAGATAAGTTTAATTTCCTATTTTATGCTGTCAGGTAGCTAACGTTTCAGCCTACTCCATAGCCCTCACGACTTGAAAACATTTTCCATGTTAGCTTTCCAAGAAGCTAATGCTGCTCTGCGCTTAGAAAGTCCTTTCTGTTATTTCGTTTTGTTTTGTTTTGTTTTTTTTAAGTAAATGCTGATTTGCAGTTTTAGGTAGCCATCTCTCTGAAATGAAGCTAATCTCACAGCAAACTGTAAAAGGCTAGTCAATGTACCATTTAAATAAATAATACAACTTTATACAGTAATGATATATGGTCTTTATGCAGGAAAGTGCAAACTGCTCAGTGGCATATGTCCTTTGAGAAGCTCAGATTTTTTTTTTCAAATATTAATTCAGCCTCAACTCCACCATGAGGCCAGTGGATAAAGCAAAAATGACAGTCCCACTGCCTTGCCTTTTTTTTTTTTTTCAAATTTTTAAGTTTTCATCTATTTTTATAGTGTGTAACAAGAAGAAAACTGTGGGTGGTGGGAAGCATCATATTACTAAAACAACACACAATATTTGAAACCTTATTTTACTGTGAGGCAACTTCTCATGGTCTGAGGGTCCCACACTTATCTAGGGCTTCACTCTTCCCAATCCTCAGTGAGTAGCTCTCAGAGAAATTGGTTTGCAAGTGCTAGAGACCTCAGTGGAGACGAATATAAATTGAAACAGAAGCCACGCTGCCAAAATCTTCCAACCCTGCAGAGAGAATTTTGCACCCACATCCCAGTTTTGTCTCACCCACCAACTGTTGGAAAACAGCCCTACAAACCAAAGGCACCCATGAAATACTTGAGATAGGTGTTATCTGTTCTGGAAAGGCCCATGGCTCCATTCTGGGACCTTCCCTTGATAAGGCCGGGAGAGGCAGCCAGGCGTCAACCTGATTTTTCTCAAGCTGTTTAATTCAGCAATGAGGATCATGGAACGAGAAAACAGGAAGCAGGAGCAGCTTTGTTTTGTCAAATTAAATAATGAAGTCTTTTACTAAATTTCTTCATTTGTTGTAGTTTTTGTATTATGTTTTTGGATTTAAAAGGATTCACTGTATTTATGTTGTCAAAGGGTACCGATGGGCTGTCCAGGTGGATGTAGCTGTATTTAGCTTGGAGTGCATGTTATGATTTGTTTGTGGGGATGAGAAGTGAAAGGTTAAATAATTTTGTAAACAAAACCATGAAAAGCTGTTGAGCTCCTGGGGGTGTGGGACGAAGAGCTTGATTTTTTTCAAAGGCATTTATTTGAAAATTATTGCCATGGTGGAAAACGTGCAAGTAGTGATAGACTTGTGCAGTTGAGTGTGTGTGTGCGAATGTCTAGTCCTTTGGCCACTGTGAAAATTTCCCAGGGCAGAACTTTGCAATTCTTACCCTATTTTAAAAAGCATACATCTTTGCTTAGTGAAACTGTCTCTGTCCCATTCAGAAATGTATTGCAGCCCCTTTTCTTACGGGGAAGTATTTACAGTATCACTTGTTGAATATAAAGCATATTCCTGTGTTGCATTTAGTCTTTTGGTTGTTTTTCATAGCTGAGCCGGCTCAGCCGCCTTCTGCATCTAGCAGTGGCAATTCTGATGATGCTATTCGATCCATTCTGCAACAAGCCCGACGTGAAATGGAGGCACAGCAGGCTGCCCTTGAACCTGCCTTAAAAACACCACCTTTATCTCAAGCTGACATTTCTATCCTGTCCCCCAAACTAGTATCTACACCTGCAATGTCTTCGGTTTCCAGCTTTTCTCCTTTGGCCATGTCCCTGAAGAAACATTCATCTGTCACTGATTCCAGTATCTCTGCATTGCAGAACCTCTCTGGGCTCAAAAAGGAGCCTCAGGAGGCACCTGGTTTAGAGCTTCATGGAATAAGTGATTCTGCCCAGGGTATGTTGAGGCATGTTAAGAATGAGTTGGGACGTGGTGGTGTTTGGAAGGACCATTGGTGGAATACTGTTCAGCATGAGAGAAGAAACACAGCTCTTCCCGAAGACCCCAAAGTTGAGGAAGCCAGTGTTGGAAAAGAAAAGGTCAGCAATCAGACTAGGCCAGATCGTAGCCAGCTTCAAGGACCATCTTCTTCGGAGTATTGGAAATAGTGGCCAAACGCTGAATCTCCGTACTCCCAGAGTTCTGAGTTGAGCATGACTGGGGCAAGTCGCAGCGAGACGCCACAGAATAGCCCCCTCCCTTCATCCCCTATCGTGTCTTTGTCAAAGCCATCCAAACCTTCGGTTCCTCCACTGACACCCGAGCAGTATGAGATTTATATGTACCAGGAGGTGGATACGATAGAACTAACGCGTCAGGTCAAAGAAAAGCTAGCAAAGAATGGCATCTGCCAAAGGATCTTTGGGGAAAAGGTAAAGCACTGGTTCTCTCTTGTTACACCAGTATTTTGAATGTGCGCTAGGCTCCTTGTATCGATAAGAAACATAAATCTTAGCAAAATGTTTTTGCTTAGTATGTTAAGTGTTTTCAAAATAAGCTCACAAGGCAAAGTCTTAGTTTTCTTGTGTTTTGTGAATTGCATGGATTTTATTACAAGGACTGGCTTCAGTTGCTTGTGATTAGAAGTGGGGCCCCTGAGCTTAGAACCTTTGAAAGTTGGCGCAAATATTATCAAGACTCAGTATTTCATGATTAATGTACTGCATTCATGGAATATTTGAGTAATGCCATTGTCATGACTGGGAAATCTTAAATTTGTTATATGTGAAGATTATGGACACAAGGGCATTTTCCCTTCTTTAATATTTGGAAATACGCACCAGGGTATTAAAAAACACACACAAAAATCCCCTAGCCTCTCCTCAGTCTTAACTCCAGAATTCAATCCATGCCTTTGCCTGTTGTTCAGGATCTTAATGTGTTTCCAGGCGTTTTAAGCAGTATTGAATTACAGATACTCCACTTAACATGAGTCTCCCTGCAGTTGTTGCATTATGGGCTCTGAGCATTAAATACGTGGGAGCCTGGGGAGGTGATGGTTAGATGGAAGAGCACAGCAAACACCTTCCAGGCTGGGCAGGTGCTGGATGGCTGCTATTTCTCCTTCTGATAAAGAATTAAATCAATATAAGAGCATAATAGGAGCTAGCATTGCACTATTATCTTTTCAGTAAGATGTAAAATGAAACGCCTGACCTCTCGGGGTCATTAAAGATCCCATGGCAGCTTTCATTTAAGTATGAATTTTACCCCCTGTACCTGTCCTGAATTCCAGGCAAGTAATTACGTTCTGCCTGGCTCCATTTCCAGCTCAGTTTTGGTTGTGTGTGTTCTTATATATTTACTTTTGTGAAGCTGCCACTGCTACAGGTGAAAACACACATCGTTCTAATTCATACCAAAAAAAAAATCAACCAAATATAGGACTAGTCTCAAAAGTCCCAATTATTTTTGTTTGAGAACAAAATACATGACAATCATCTCCTGTTTTATCTACCTTTCAGAGCCTGGACTCCGTGCTTTTCCTTTAGACTTGATCCAATTTGACACAAAATATGAAAAGCATGCAAATTGCTCCCCGTCCTTTTGGTGTTCGTACTGCCGCTGTGCTCCTGCAAGAACAAAATGACAAAAAAAACACATGCTCCAGAACAAAATCACGGCAGGAGAACAGCAAGCTCAGGCGAAGCCCCTATATATGTCACTTGAAAGTTTTACTCCTTGTCAAGATAAAGCTGACATGAGCAGGATGCCAGTAAAGAAAAGCAAAGTTACTTTAGCTCCCCCCTTCCAAATCAAATGTGTTAACGTTGCCGTTCTTGGTTGCTTCGCTTCAGGTGTTGGGGCTGTCCCAAGGAAGTGTCAGTGACATGCTCTCCAGGCCAAAGCCATGGAGCAAATTGACCCAAAAAGGCCGAGAACCATTTATTCGTATGCAGCTCTGGTTGAATGGTGAGCTGGGACAGTGTGTCCTGCCCGCGCAAGGGCAGCAACAAGGACAAGGTAATTAAAATTCCACTATGTTGTTTGAGTTGAGGAGGAGGAATTCATTTTAAAGTTGCAGTAAGCAAGACTTTGACCCCATGGTAGCAGAGGCATTTCTATAAGTGGAAGTGTCCACCCTCGCATCGTAGCCTGTTCCGAAGGGGACTCGCTGGGAATGTTTACAAAAGAAGCGCTCGTTTGTGCGTAATTGATAAGCAGGAGCTATCACGTCCCTAATTAGCGCAATATTATTGAGGCATAAATACGATATGCAATTCCAAAAATTTTGGCTGATGTGCTGGAAAGTCTTGTGTGCGGTTTCCTAGAGTCGCCTGGGGGGTATCCGCATCCCCAGGAGATATCCCTTGTTTTCTCAGGAGGCGAACGAGCAGGGTTAAGCGTTAAGGGGGCTTGCAGAGCAGCCACGGCGCTTTTACCGTGGCCCTTGCTTATCCGAGTATCTATTGATGGCCCTTTGCTATTTGTTGAGCCTGCTGACTGTTTAGTTTGTGGTTTGGCATCGCCTTTTACTGTTCCCTGATTTTCCTCTCCTCTCTTATCTAGTCCTTCACTCAGTGACATCATTGCAGGATTCCCTACAGCAGGGATGTGCAAGCTCAGGTAATCAGCCGCTTTCGATGATTTCCTCGGAAATAATGCGTTGTGCTTTTTGTTAAGTTGCTTTTGCTTTGACGCCAGGAGGTTTCTTGTGTTTTGTTGCATCATACTGGAGAACCTTCAATTTTTGCCTTTTTTTTTTTTTCATTAACACAGTTAATTCCTCATTCTCTCCTTGTTGCTATGGCAGATCTAGGAAGTACACATATTTAGCCGCATATATTAAGCAAAGAGAGTCTGTCTGATCTCGGAGATCATTGGCTCTGCATTTTTTTTTTTACCATAGTTCAGCTTATCAACTTGACATGTGACAATGGCTCTAAAACAAGCACTGTGCTTGTAATGTGATCCGCATGCTCCAACAGCCTTATTTGCTGGATTTTTTTTTTCCCTGCTATCTTTTGCACAAAATACACTTTGTTAACTTGAAGGTGGGGAAGAGACCACGTTACGTGTTTCTTTTGCAAACTTCAGTAAATATTTCACGCTCATCGTTTCTCTCCCCCACAACCCTTTCCATTTGCAAAAAAAAAAAAAAAATAAGAAAAGCAGCTGCAGCAGAGATGAATGTCAAAGAAAAGCAAATTGCTAAGGATTGTGCGAAGACGGCCCCAGTGCAGTGAGGAGACTGGAACAGAACAGCTGTGTTCCTGCTGTTAGATACCAAGCTCTACCCACACACAGTCTTTTTACCACTGATACGCTCAGCTGACGTCAGCCACTCAGGCTGTTTTGTCCTCTAGAAAAATACTTGTGCCCTGCTCTGTGCTTGTAGCCAGTGCCCTTTAGATGAGGCTTACAGCAGTTCCAGATAAAGAGGAGGACGGATTATGCTCTTCCCACCGTCCTGCCGCTCTGAAACATTGGTCTTTTGTGCAGCTCCTTGGGTTTATTCTGCATATCCCAGCTGAACTGTTTTTCCTCACTCTGGTGGGAAACTGTTTTGCATTCTCAAAGATTTTATGGAAAAAAAAATCCATTATGATTTTCAATCCACGTTCTTTCTCAAGAAGAACAGTTGGAAATAAATAGATAAAAGCAAAAATGCCTCTGGAAAAAAAAAACATGGAACTACAACCAAAATTGGAGAAAATTATTTACAATCACAGGGCTATTGTTACTTATAGACAGGCAGTTAGAGAACATGGAATTTTTCTGAGACATTTTATATGCTGCTCTTCATTAAAAGCATGCATTAACGTTCTTTTTGTAGCATTAATGCTATGCAATAGTAACTGCTACAGTTATAAATGCCTAAGACCGCATGGAAAATATGAGTAATTAATTAAAGCCATTTTAAGAGGAATTTGAAATTAGAGGAGCTGGGAAAGGCTGCATTGTTATTGCTAATCATCATATTTATTTCTAACTGTAATTACAAAAAGGTTGAAAGACAAGCCATAATATTATGGTCTGACCACCTTATGTTATTCCCATGACAGTCACCAGCAGCTAAAAGTGATTTCCTTCAGTTTTGCTACTGCAATATTTTGTTCCACTCCCACACTCCCATCTCCTTCCTTAGTTCCTACCCTTGAGCTAATATTTGGCGATGTGACACGTTCCTATCAGCTACTAAAATCTTGTTATTGATGACCGCTGTCCTTCTCCCCTTAAAGCTAACTTACAAATGAGAAAATGGGTTGGCGCCCTTTTCTCCCTGCTTTCTCATGATTAAAAATAATTCTTTTCTTGATACCTTTTTCACTGCAGAGGAATAAATAGGGTTGTGGCGTTACTCAGAATAAAAGAGCAAAACCATATTATTTGAATAAGGAAGGGAAATTTGGTAATTTGCTTTTTGTAGCAGCAGTTCTGTAATTAAAAGTGCAGCAAACAGCTTGGAAAAGGTAAAAAAATAATTATGCATTTGTGAAAGATCCTCCACTCCAGGGCAATAAAAAAAAAAACCAGCTCCAACTTTCAAGTCTTCTAAGAACATTTCCCAGGAAAATCAAGGCAGAAAAGGTTACATAGTTGTAATTTTAAAATAGAAATTAATCAGAACAGCTTTAAAACAAAACAAAAAAAAGGTCTGGAGCCATTTCTGTTTAATAAAATTAAGGCTAGGAACTTGTTGAATGCATGAAGGGAAAGAAGTGAAATTAAACTAATACATGCAGTGGCTCCTGAGTGCTTTGCCAAGAAGGTCTTCAGTGTATAGAGTGTCAACACGCATAGTAACGTCTCCAGCTTTTATTAGCTGTGAGTATTTTCATTACTGTTTGGCATTATTATGTCAAACTAGCAGGATTTTCTGGCTTTTTGACCCAGTTAGTTTCGCTTCCAGATCACAAGGTTTTGATTAGCACCTCGTTCATGGGAATCTGTTCTTTGATCCAGTAGTTTTCTGTCATCACACATGGACAGTTGGGCATATCAGCCTTTCATATAATATAAGGATGAATGGATAAGCATATAGATATATATTTTTATATATATGCATATATAATTTGAGAAAGCAAAGAGAATCCAAACTTGTTTTCTTCTCGAGATGTATTTAGGAATTTTTGAAATACACAGTCGATACCAAAATTATACCCAGATATTTATCTGTGTTTTCTGTGAGCTTTAGTCGTAGTTTTAGTGATTAGAAGAGCTTTGCACATGGCCCAGTGAATGTACTTCACACAAAAAGTGGTGTCTGTAACCTAGGTGATCAAAAATAATATCACTGTGCCTTTACTATCATTTTTCCTGTGTTCCTTTCCACCTAAATGCTCTAATGCCCTTGGGTAAATCTGCCTTTTTAATGATTTATGTGTCAAAAGCATGGACCAAATCACATGGAAAAAAAAAAAAAGTTGAATTAGTGTCACCCAACTGCATCAGCATTTTCTCTTGCTGAATTTGGCCCATACTTAGTTGCATTACTGATGGGCAGAGCTGGGTTGCGTTTGGATAGCAGCCATGTGTCAGGAGGAGGTTTCTGTGCTTGGGTGTTTTTTAAATACTTGTGTATAGCTCTCGGTAGTTTGTTTCGTTTTGGGGACTTACATCTTTATCGAGCATCTGTATCGCATTAAGACAGTTTCTCTTTTGGTGCTGTTGATTTCAAAGCTACTCCCAGGCAAGCTGAATTTTTAGTCACTTTTGTATTTATCCTTTGTGAAGGACACACACTCTCTATATACTACATTAAAGAATTGCAAATACTCAGTGGGAAAGAGACATGCCTTTTTGGTATGTGTTTCTGTAAGGGTCGCCTTATGACCTAATGTGGAAATCTTCATTTGCCGATACAGCTGCGGGTGATCTCTGGGGATTTTGAATTTCCCTTTTGTTTGTCTTCCTTTCTGGGTATCATCCATCATTCCTAACCTCATGCTGCTTAGCAATAGTAACGCTCATGGGAGTTGAAGAAAGGATTATAGCAGCATAAAATGGGGAGCTAATTAGAGCTTGTTTCAAAATCAGAATCTAGCCTGAGATAATTGCATATTATCTGGTGATTTAAAAACCCAAGATCTACTGTATTTAGATCAACTAAAATATGCATAAAAGCTCTATTTTCAAAATAAAACATTTGTAACAGCAGGGAGATTACCTCTTATCATCTCTTGGGAAAGAAATCTGGAAAAAAAAACAGTGCAATCTATGGTTTAGGGAAGCTATGATTTTAGCAGATATGTTGTAGAATGATGACAAACCCAGATATCTATTATATTTTTATTTCTATAGTACTTACTCCAGTAATACCTTTCAATACAGAAACTACTGGATAGATCTTCCTGCTTATCTAATAAGAGAAGGATGGTGCCATATTTATCACTCTGAGAAAAATAATGAGAGAGAGAGGATGCTCTCACTGTTGGATCCACTGCAATTCATATTCAGGATTATCCTCCTGTTATCCTTAGGAGAAGATCTCACTAGTCACGTGGTGGCAGTGGAGAAAGCTCTGATCTTCCCTCCCCTCCATGTTCCGTGATTATTTCCTTCATTGTATTCATTTTATTTTGGAAGAGTACGTTTGTCTGAAGTGGTGCTCCAGAACATGATCCAGGTTAGCACAAGGAGTGCTAAACGCACAGTACTTAGAGATCACACAAATGGTTGCTGGATCAGCCCAATTTGGGGTTATTTTTGAATCCAAAAGAAGAAAGAGCGTGTTCTGCAGTAATTTGTTGGCAACTCTAGGTTAGTATAAGTTCTGTGTGATTTGAAATGGCTCTGGGAAAGGTTGTCCATAAAATGAAGGAGAAGGCAGATCACTTGACGTTTTAATAGCTGAGTTGTAGAATTGCAAGAGCTCCTTGTGTGGCTAGGTCACATTTGATGGACAATTTTTGAGTTTTTCAAAAATTTGGCTTTATGCAGTGGATATCAAATACTTTTTAGAAGTTTGTTTTGAACTGAACAACTAATTCTGCAAAACAGTTATCTTCACGTGGACCCTAATATATAATGTAGAGTCTTGGTTAAGTTTATGCATTCTTTGGGTGTGCTTGAGATTGCAATTCTGCAGCAGTTGGCCCAAGCTGTCATGATTTCAAACCATAGGATATCAGTTGGCTCCTCATAAGGGCAGCTGTTGTAGTCTGTCTGTAACGTGTGCGATTATATTCTGTGCCATTTCCCTGACATTTGGACCATGAAAACCTTCCTGGCAGCCTTTATGGTATCAATAAAACGGGGGAATCACTGCCCAGGCACCTTACTGGAGCCTGGGAATGCAGAGTGAAGTCAGTGTTTCCACTTAGTTCTTATTATAACGTTGGATAGTATTGCTAGATACCGTCTCCTCGTTTCTGCCTGTTGCCTATGGCTGTCCTGCACAAGCTGGCTCACATGGCCGCAGTCCTTTGCCCTTCAGTCTCTATTTGAGGATAAACTCTTGTCCTACATGTGTTTTTTTGCCCGTTGAACCACACAGTGATTAAACTTGCATAAGATGATTCCACCCTCACCATGGTCATAGCTTTCCTGCTACAAAAGTGCTAAAATAAAATACATAATCACAAAATGAGCACGATTGTCTAGGCAGATGTTCCTTGTGGCTA